CGGTGCTTCTTCTCTTTGGTCCCACCAGAGGACTTGCCGGCGTGCGTCTTGAGGTGCTCCAGGAGGACCACGGTGCTGGGGAAGGGCTGCAGGCACACCTGGCAGGTGAGGTCTCCACTGTTAGCAGCATGGAGGGCCAGGTGCCGCTTGAAGCCCAGCTTGGTGTTGTAGCTCTTGCCGCACTCCTGGCAGCCGAACGCCTCCTTGTAGGGGTCGTGAGTGTGGAGGTGATTCTTTAAGTGATCCTTGCGGTGGAACATTTTCTCACAGTATGAACACTTGTGGTTTTTTTCTGGCGAGTGAGTTGCCATATGCCTTGGAACACAGACACATTCTATGAGCACTCAGAATCAAGAAGGCATGCTTTACATTACACACAAACACAGACACTAATATGCAAGAACAGATCATTGTGAACACTACTGAGCGTTATGTTAGCAAAGGTGTAAAGAGAAAGGAACATGCTGCTATGTGCTGTCTGTACCGTAGCAGCTTGTATTTGGAGACGAAAGCCTTGGTGCAGTCGGGGTGGGAGCAGCGGTAGGGTCTCTCTCCGGTGTGAGAGTACGAGTGCACCTTCAACTTCTCCAGGCTGTTGAAAGCTTTCTGACACTCCTGGCAAAGGAAATTCTTTTTGGGCTTGCCCTCTGCTCTCCGGCGCCTCCCTGTGGGCGGCGTGAGCTTGGTTCTCTCCAGGACGTGGTCACGGTGGCCCTGGGTTCCCGTGGCCATGGCACTCTAAGGCTGACCGGCTACATGGACAGGGGCGCAGAGCCCGGCTACTTCTGATGTGATTACTCTCTCCAGTTTTATGTGCTCAACACCGCCCGGACTCAGGGGCCTGAGAAAGAGAGAGAGAGAGAGAAGATGGTGAATGGTTTGGTTTCAGGTTGCTGACGGTACAAAAGACATTAAAACCTAAGTCATAAATCAACTGATGTGAGGAATGACAAAACAAGTTGAACTGGCTGCCTTTGGATTACATGTCTTATAGATCTTAGATAACTGTTTATATTCAAATGGGTAACAACTGGCTAAGTTAACTCTGGGGTTTACAATCACAATGGTTTAACTCAAAGGTTATCTGAACTACAAGCAATCCAATATATGAGCTCAAATGATACATGAGGGGAAATACATGTAAGCACAAGCAAAAGGCGATCTTCAGCAAAGTTAACTATATGCAATGTAAGCACACAAATGAAATGGAGTTAAATGCTGTAAAACCCTAGAAATAACAACCAATGTAAAGTAGTTGGCTGTAAAATATGTGTGTGTATGTGTGTGTCTAGCATAAGCTGAAAATGGCACTTTTAATGATTAGTTCACAGTTTTTTTTAGAACGACAGTCGAGTTATATGTTTTATCGAAGACACAGCCGAACTCTGATGCCTCAAACTATGAATTCTCCTTTTTTTTGTCATTAGGAGGATATAGAATTTAAGTCAGCTGTAAAAACATCCATCAAAAGCACTAACTACTGCTGCCACAGGGGGATTATTTTAAAAATGGCTGCCTGAGATGCAAAATCTGTAACGCTTCTATACCTTTAACCACTTCCACATTACTTCCTTATACATAATACCTTTTGTTTCTCCTACACCTTGGCTTTGGCAGTTTACCAGCTACCATTACTTACACATATTAAAAAGGATATTAGATTCTATAAGAGGACAAATATATTCTAATGAGTTAACTTATAATAGAAAATTATGTTTTTCAAACTGTTTTTTCTTGTTGTATCCCTTGCCTTAGTCCACATGTGTCAAACTCAAGGCCCGGGGGCCAAATCAGGCCATTGGTGGATTTAATTTCGGCCCGCAGGATAATTTGTAATTACTATTAGATCTGGCCCGCCGGTATATTGCACGCACACCTTCACTCCATCCCATAGACTGTATATATAAATACTCCATCCTGAGGGTCTCCTCCGCTCAGAGCCTGAGCCCAAACATTGATGACCTTGCCCCCAAGAGGAGATGCCAAGTATCTGAACTAGCATCACAGAGCAGCACTGAGTTTAATGGATGCTTCCTTCTGCACTTTCTCTCTCAGGACAACAGGGCATGTTTGGTTTTCTCTTTGAGGGAAATAGTTTTGTTGAAGCTGTTGTTGGCCTGTGGGAAAATCTAATCGTAAGAAATGACTCTGGAAAAGCTGCAGATCGAGCCATAAGAAATGAATGCAACTGATTATTTAATGTTTAATGTTGTTTTTATAGGCAATCATTTAATAGTCCCAGGTTTAATATGTGCAATAAGTTAATTTCAATAAGTTCTGCAATAAACATTGAACCAGTCCGGTCCCTCGACTAGTACCAATTTTTTTATTTTGGCCCACTGTGTATTTGAGTTTGACACCCCTGCTTTAGATAGACACAAATACAGATGAATAGATCTGATCTGTCATTATCACACATTGTATTTTACAATTGAAAACTTACAAAATACACAGAGATGTATCAGTCTGCACATGTTTATATGATATAATCTTATTATGGAAAAAATACTCATATCTACTAGTACAAAGTTGATACTACATTATCCATGTAGCACACCGCTTCATTGTTACTGCACAAAGGGCTGATATTTCTTTATTAATGAAATTAGAATTGCTGTGTAGCTTTTGTTAGAAGAATAAATCCTGGAGCCTTTCACTCTTGAAACAGAGATTTATACCAAGCCCTTGTCTCTGAATTGATTCATACTTTTCTAACAGATATGATCTAAATGACTGCAAATATCTGGATTGATAACAGCCGTCTGTCCTGCAGTAATAAAGACTTATTAGTGATTTAAATGTAAAAGAAGATTCACTATGCATTCAATTGTTGTTTTTGTGATTTGAACAATTTTAAGTAACATAATGATATTAAGAATTATTATTCTTATGTGTCTATATTTATAGCAATTAGCAACTTGTCATAACCGTACCAACTAATTATAAGTATTCATCAATATAGAAACAAATCTTAAATATCTTGCATATTCTTATACATTTCGATTATTTTTTAATTAAAAGTGTACAGTTAATAGTAATAACAAAATGCCCTGTGTTTGATAAGACCTTGTTTTGTGGAAAGTTGTCATATTTACTGAAACACACGTTAACAAACATTTGTTTCGGGGCTAAGAGAAGTTGCTAAGCACATCAAAAATGTCTATTTTATTAAGGCTGCAATATTGATCTCATTACTAACAATTACCTTTCTTCAGAGAAGCTACAGAAACAACCCAGGCGTAAGGAGGATGTTTTTACTTGGACTAAATCAATTATCTTGCCTTCAAAAAAACTAAAGCAACTCATTTTAAAGGGTCATTATCAAATCAATTCAAACATGTATAAACAGAATGATGCAAATCCAAATTCATTTCCCACATCTTGTCAAAGAATGAAGGCTCACCAAGCCTTTATAGAATAACATTTTAATATTTAGGAAAATGATTAGCAAAAGGCTAAGCTAGACAAATGTATGAATGCTCCGAAGCTCTTAAATATTTCTCCTAATATCTTATATAGAAAATTAGTTTTAGGCATCGACTAATTATAGTCATTTATAATGGCTAATAGCAAACTTCTGCATTAAAGAAATAATCTTTGTTTCTCATGCTACTAGTTCTGCCTTACATTAGCATCATTACATGCAATCAGATTGATATCAGTAACAACGCAGGTATTAACAGTCAAAATCATGCCATGGTAAATACAGAACAATTACACATGAATCCATATCAGCACGTTAAGACAGGTGTAAACAGAGACTTGAGCCAACACTGACAACACACTTCCTCTCAGTGACTGTTTCAATATCACTTTTACAAGCAGCCACACCAATGCTCTGGCGGGCTACACCTCGATAACACCATGGGAGATGCTTCTGATACCTAGTAGCTTGAGTGTAACGCTTATAACACCGATATCCTGCACCACATCTCTTACATAGCCATTTCTAATGTGCACAGTGCAACCTGCCACACCGCCAAAGTGAACACACGTCCTTTAAAGAGCAACAAGTCGGGGCATCGCATAATTACTCTGCCTTGACTTCTCCCTCCATTTTGCAGCTTTATTGACAAGCAATTGCCGTGTGTTGTTTACGAGGCTTGCAGCGGGTAGTAGCCGACCTGTCATGTGTGTGTCTGACACCGGGATCGATACTTGCAACGGTTTAAAAAAGCCATAAAGCTAAAAGGAGAAGCATGACAAAATGTCACTGTAGCCGCTACATGGTGGCATTACGGTTTCAGAAAAGAGATGCTGGAATCGATAAGTGTAAGTTGGCACGGCTTGTGATAAAGTGTGAAAATGAGGTAAATATCAATGTACATGCAGATAAAAGTGATAATGACGTTATTGCCGAAGTAAAGTGCGCCTGTTCCTGTACGTGTTTACCAGACTAGCGTTGTTATTATATTTTTTTTAAATAAACTAAGTTAGGAGGCAACTTTGCTCAACTTTCCTACGCTACTGGTTCCGGTGGTCTTTAATGTTCGCGGACACGCACCGTGACACTAATACGACCAGTGACATCATTTATTTTAATAAATATCAAAGCGTGTGCCGTCCCCTGCTTTTCTCTGCGGTCCTAAACTGGGTACTGATTAACACAAACTTTTTCCCCAGCTCACCCCTCTCTCATAATTTAAATAACCCCGATATTTTAATTCAAGAACAGGGTAACCGCTCACTTAATTCACATCAAACTTACCCCGGTCGCTTTAACATTCTTTCTGTTGGGTTTTTCTTCACTTTCAACTATTTTCCGAATTTTTAATAATTTTTTTCTCATATTTTTTGCTAGACGCGGCGGGCCTGAAAATTGTTTGCTTTCCCCACTTTCGAGCAGCCATTGTGTATGCGCTGCGATTCAACCCAACTATGACTTAGCCACGCCCACCTGAAATCCCGCCCACTCGCCACTCTTTTGATTTGTGTAAGCCGCTGCCACTTTCCCCTCAGTGTCAGCTACAGTCCATTTCAGTAAAACTCATTTTTGGACTTGCTCGATGCACTGTCAATCGCTTAAATGTGGTTTAGTAGCATTTACAAGGATAGGAAGACTAACATGGCTGCCAAGATATCCCATTGGCTCACAGGGTTGTCAGTCATTCTGTTAGTTTCCCGGGGCTCCTATTGGCTGATATCGCTGTCAGTTGTCTCTGACGGTGCGGGTGATTTTCCTGGTGCGCTGTTGCAACAAATAGAGAGGAGTTATCTTGAGCATGAAGGGGAGGTATTAGCCTATGGGTTGTGTTGCTTTACCAGTTAGCCACATGTATGCTAATGTATAGCTGCTCACTAGCTCTTTAAAGCAACATTCTTGTTAGCATTTCAAGGGGATATACATCATAACATAACATTTGAATAACTAGCATTAGCAGTTATTTTGGTCCTTTCACACACGGGATACTCTTCACTGGTGTGGATATTACGCTTATCCACAATTCATTAGACTACTGCAGGATACAAGTTGTTATCATTAAAAGGTATGTATTAACTTTATATAGCTTTTCCCATTTACCTCATTCCATCTTAATGCACAGTCGCTATGACGTTTGAATGGAAGCTGTTTGGTAACATGAGTGAAGGTCAACATGCTACTATGTAGCAACGCTACATGGTGTAGTGGAGGACGCCAATCTCCATTGAATAATTTGGGAAGTCTAGTAAAACGTGTTATTTGTTAAATGTGCACCATCTGTCGACACGATTAAAGACATTTCCTACAAGAGGAAGAAGCCAATTTCAATTCGGCATATATGTTACACACCAAGCTGACATATTTTTAATATTACTAGCCCTATAAAACATGGTTTAGTTGCTGTTTACCTTTGTACCACTTACACCTTATGTGGTTAGTGATAGCAACATGTGTACACCTAAAGGGAACGTTTATTGTAACACATGCAGAGTGGTTTTGTGGAGTATAACTTCTGATAGACATTATGAATATGATGTATCATAACTGTATTTTTGATCCTTTGAGGCCATTTGGGACCCTTTCTCTAGCCTCTAAAGATACAGATTGTCCAACAACAATATTACAGTTGTTTCAAAGATTTTCAAGTTTTATTCTGCTGACTTTATTTAAATATTCAAAGTATTACTCTGCTGTATGTTTTACATTCATCCCAGTAACATGTGATTCATTAATAGTAATACATCCCCATACAATAGTTAAACAACGAAACTGTGCATAAACTGAACCTCTTTTTTCATCTTTGCAGATCCCAATGGATAAAAAAAACTTACGAAAGCTTCGGAATGAGGACAATAACCCATGCATAGACGTACGTTTACCTACCCTTTACATCTTGCTTTGTGTCGAACATCGGCCTGCTGCAAGGTAACTGTGTTTCTAATTTTGTAATCCTGAAACTTGTTTCTCTTTTTCAGGAAAGTAATGCGTCCCAGCAGTGTATGAATGTCAACAGCTATGACAAGAACATGTGTACAAACTATTTCCTGAGATATAAGAGCTGTAGGAAATACTGGGTGAGTGCATGTTTCCAGGATCAAGGAGAACACACTGGCTTTCTCATGTTTACCTGTGCATGGCTGAGAAGTTAGCAGTCATTGATGCTGCAGTAGTGACACCCACTGGTGGGTCAGGGTGTCTGCACAGTGAGGGGCATAGGGGGAGGTTTGTCCTCAGTTGGGTCTGCAATAGAGAGAGAAATGGGCCGGAATCAGAGTAAAGTCCATTAAAGTTAAGATACATTTGATAAAAAGGGGAGTCATAAGCATCAGCTTTCCGATATTTGCGGAAAGGATTAAGAGGAAAAAAACAATAAACGTAAATTGTTGGAAGATGCACAAGACAGATTTAAAACAAACTCCTTTAAGACATGCACCTTATTATAATAATAATAATATATTTTATTTATAAGCGCACTTTTCATTTGCGTAAACAAAACTCAAAGTGCTTATTATGTTAATGTAATAATTATTTCACATGTATGTATCATGTCTAAATGAGAACAAAGGTCACCAGTGATCATGTGAGATCTTTAACAATTGTAACGCTTAAAATAAGTTAGTATAATTTAGTTTACGTTTTTGTCTTCAAATTCCCCAGAAAATGTATTCATTTATTTTATTTAAAACAAGGTTGCACAATAACACAAACCAACTTACCGATCAATGCAGGGTTAGTTCACTGATCTGCAATTTAAAATGTATTTTTTGTCAATGGTGGCTTTGAAGAGAACACAGATTTCAGTTCCTCTAACTTATCATTTTTACCTGTGTAATATATAAAGTACTTTTAATTTGTGTCTGTTTCCTTGTAGCAAAACATAATGGTGCAGCGGAGAAGAGAAGGAGTGAAACCGGACATGCCGACGGCTGCAGAGAGGCAGGAGATGATCGCTGCTATCGGAGAGAAACCTTACTGATATCAGCAGAAACTCAGAGACACTGTGAAGGCCAGCGAGGCCCGGACATTTACTACAAGCTGTGCTGCTGCACTGGCTGGGTTCACACTGACCCAAAGCCTGACCCATCCTAAGCTCAGGGCGTGTGGAAGTGCCCGCTTACTGGTCTGTTGTGGAATAAAAGGGAAAAGGAGGGATTTCACAGAAAGATATCAGATGTCATATTTATTGAGGAATAAAAACAATGGGACTTGAACTGAAACATCATTCAATTAGCTTTATAAGCTGTTATGTCCCGTAATGGTATTACAGAAGTTGCACTGTAGTCACAACTGTTGAGATTAATATTTAATCTTATCAAAAGTAGACTTACTTTTTCCCATGAGAACTGTATATTCTACAGTTCTCATATGTAAAAGTAGGTCTACTTTGTCTTTGAAATCTAAAGCATTGTTGGGACTAGCTCAGCTGTGGATTCTACCTGGCCAACATGTTGAAGTCTGCAGCATGTGTGATGGAGTATTGTAGCATCTCCTTTCGCATGTCATACTAGTTATTTTATTGCATACAAATCATGCATATTCTGTCCTGTATCATTCCCTACTATTCTTTGCCTTTTCCTGTTCTCCTAAAAAACTAAGATTGTCGGTCATGAAAAACAACAATTAGCTTTCTGGTTGATACTGTCATTTCATTTCATTTCAAACCTTTATTTAACCAAATTGGTCCCATTTAGATCATAGATCTCTTTTTCAAGGGAGACCTGCAGCATATAGGTTCCACATGAAACATAAAACAATAAAGGACATCATACATTATATTTACATAGTTATAGACATTTACAAGTGCCCATAGTATCAACGAGCATTTCATTTAGCCTAGCTTTAAAAACATGCAGAGGAATGAGATTGCTCAGTTTCAATTCTTGCTGAAGATTGTTCCAAGCAAGTGGAGCTGCGCACATAAAAGCTGTCTTACCTGAGACAGTCCTTGCTCTTGGCACATCTAACAATACTAGATCATGCGATCTCAGACAATAGCTGCTTGCAACTCTCTGTGTTATCAGAGAGCAGATATAATACGGGAGTTTACCCAACAAAGCTTTATAAATAAACGTGTACCAATGACTGAGCCTCTTTACAGTAAGTGATGGCAAACCTGCCTTGGCATACAGGGTACAGTGATGTGTAAGTGCTTTACAATTTGTGACAAATCTCAGTGCGCTGTGATAGGCGGCATCTAACTTGTTCAGGCAATGGGCAGGTGCATTCATATAGATCAAATCACCATAGTCCAGCACAGGTCAAAAGGTCACAGAGCCTTTTCCTGGCCTCAAGAGAGAAACAGGACTTATTTCTGAAAAATAAACCTAGTCTAACCCTCAGCTTTTTAAGCAGGTTATTGACATGAAGTTTAAAAGTAAGACAATCATCAAGCTAGATACCTAGGTATTTATAACTGGTAACCACTTCAAGTACTTGTCCTTGCATAGTAACAATATCCAAAACAGGCTCTGGTGTCTTTTTAGCTTTTGAAAATAGCATTACCTTGGTTTTATCAACATTTAAAAGAAGCGAGCTGAGTCTGAATAATGTTAAAAACAGCCTGTAATTTAACACCAGCCTCCTTAACTACTATACTGTAATTTCTTACAGGGCAATTCTTATTTTTTTGTTGCTGTCAACTAATATAATATAATGTGATATCATTACTTGTCATGTTCAGTGGCGCTGCAAGACACTGGGGGGACATTTCCTTTTTGGTACAGCACTTTATTTGACCGAGTGGACCTACATTATTTTTTCCATATTTTAAAACCTCATTTTAGAATAACAGTTTAGTAAAGCTGTCTGAAATGCTTAAAAACATAGCGAAAAGAACACAAGAGAATTCGCCCTGAGAAATAATGAAAGATTTATCAAATAAACCTTGCAAACTTAGACCAATCATATCAAGGAAATGCTACTAAAATACAATATTAATGACTCTTAATGTTCATAAACTAGACTTCAGATTATTTATCACCATTGATGAATCAAAAAGGAAATTATATCGTTTCCAAACTTTACTTTGCCGTACAAATCATTGAAATGTCTGGGAGTTTTCGCTTTTAACTGCGCGCATCCGCGAGGTGCATCGTGCATGCATATCTCGGCGGGCATGCATATTTCGGCACAACCATGGATGTATAATAAGTACAACACCGGCAAGCCTTCAGTCTACGGCACAACACCGGTGTTAAAGTCTAAAGTCTGTTTCCTGTCGATGTGTTTTCCCGCTCACCTGAAGCTGCTCCATCACCGGAGTGATGTATCACGCTAGGAACTCTGGGTATAGGAGGAGAGTAACCGAGACCTCAACATAATCACAGGTAACTTTATCAACTTTATCTGTAGCCTACTGTCGACATATGCTTAGAATAAAAGCAGAATAAAGTAGTTCATGAAGCAGATACATTAAAGTAAAATTAATTCCAGGTAACATTATCAGACAAAACTACCTTACGGTTAATTCAGTTGTCACATGCTAATGTTATACAGCAGGCTAACTCATTGCTACTGTTGACACATTAATGTTACTTTTTACACGTTATAACTCTCATTACAGAGAGTTCAACTGTCACTCACAGGTATTAAAGGTTATAGTTGAAACTGCATTGTTGTCTGTGGAGTGTAAATATGATAGCAGTTGGTGTTGAAACAGTTAATCAATTAATTTAATTTATTTTGATCAGGTAAAACATTATTTTGTAGTATCTGACATTTGAAGATTTGCTGCTTTTTCTGTTTAAACATGTTTGTGTTTAAATGCCTTAAACTCTTAAGATATTTCATGGACCTAACAATTAATGAAAGGGATTATCTATAGATTGATCGATAAAGAAGATAATAAGTAGCCTTCATTTGTAATTTTGCAGATAAAGACATTTGAGCACAGAGAGATTTTTTAAATAGTTTAAATCAATTTTGCTACGGGTGGTACTGCTCAGTTATGGTTTGATTTGACGCCTACATATCTTTGTATCCCTGATTGACAGGAGTAGAGAGGTAACCCTCACACACTGTGACTATTACTGGCAGATTTGCTGTGAGTCCACAGACCTCCATCAACCTCATGGATGTGTACGTTGGTCTCTGCTGTTCATTTGGGTAAGCTAAAGATTTCCTACCAAAATCTAAAATCTGTTGTACTGGATTATAGAATCCGGAATACCAGTCAATGGAAACAGGAGTTATCAGTTGTCTTAAACAGCTCAGGAAATAACCATTTAGATACGAATCTCATTCCTCCCGTTTCCTCAGACTTCCTGTGTGGATAGCATCAGTGCTAGAAGCTGCCAAACACCTGAGGTCTGACCACGCCCGTCGGAAGAAGGTCTACAGGATTCTGCAGAGGAAACTGGTCAGTGCTCATGTAATAGAATCCCATGTGGAACAACCATTGCTTTTTTCATGCAAGTTTTGGAAACTAAAAAAGACCATTGAGGTTGTTTGTAAGGCAAAAACTAATTACAGTTAAAGGCGACATGTGAACAAATTCAATTATTTATGTCATACATATATGTCTCTAATGTGTTCAGAGAAAATACCCTGTTTCTCCTGCTCCAACAATCAGAAAACATGTGTAATGAGTCACACTTGCGTATTCTACCTCTACCTCCATTATATCCTCATGCCTTGCTTTCACTACATAAATAAATGAAACACAAATTCATTGGTAAATTGAAAAATGGGCACAAATAATGTTTAAAGATTAGTCTTGCATATTAACAGCCCCTGGCAATCATGAAGTATTGTCTCATTCCCACCACTTGTTCTCTTAATATCCTTCTCCCTTTTGTTCCAGTGGTTTCAAGGGGTCGGTGTGAAGAACGGGGGTGTGTGGAAGCCCACGTACGTTTACCCTGAAGAGGTCAAAAAGTTGATCCGTTCTGTTTTCTCAGAGGACATCCGGGACTACCCTGACCCCTGCCATGCTCAGGTGAGTGTGAGATGCTTTCACAACGACACAAATAGTTTATAGGTAGCTCTGTAATAGTTCGAAAAACACTGACATTGAAAAAAAACAACTGAAAAAGAGCGTCAATAATTAATATTGAATTCTTATTTTTCAGTTATGGTTCAATTCAGCTCGTGGTCAAAGAGGTAATCCTGTGTAACTGTGTTTGTGTGTTTCAGGTGGTGTACCTCACTGTAGAGGATATGCACAAAGTTAATTTAAACTAAAGTCTGTCTATTTAATTGTCTTATCTATGCTGATGTACAATTTACAATTATAGACCAGCCCCAGTTTTGTTTCGTGTGAGGATTATCTCTGGGAAGGTTTTAAAGATGTGTGACTGTGTATCTCTATGCATTATTGGTTGTTCTGCATGTTACGGTATACAATCATTGTTACGTTTTATCTATTGGCCGTTTCAGGGTTGAATTTTCCGTGTTTCTGAAACTCTGCACTGGCTCTTTATTAATCAACAATGCTGCAAACCTATTTTAATTAAAAAGAGACTTCACATTCTCTATATCATTGTCTTTCTTACAGGCTCTTCACAATAACACATTTCACAGCTCTATGTTTCAATGTTCTGACTAGATGAGAGTCATGTGTGATAAAAATGCTGTTACAAGGGAAATTCATGATGAACTTAACTCTTGTTTTGTCTGACCCAGAAATAGAAGTAAGTCGCTTTTGTAGCTTTTTGGGAGTAACGACAAGGGCTTGTTTATTGTAGCTCACCACACAGGGTTGAATTATGAGCTGTCACTTATTGGTCCACGACTAATGTGCATCATTTGTCTCCATTAAGGTCAATCAAAAGACACATTTATCATTACACAAGAGCAATACATTGGTGTTTAAAAATAATAATAATGTAGTTAAGTGGAAACAACTGATGACAAAGTTGTTACAATTAAAATGATAGAGCACCTGTGAGATATTAAAACAAAAATCCCAATTAGTACTATTTAAGTTAAACATTTTAATTATTATTTTTGCAATAAACCATGCAGTGTGCCAACAAACACAATGAATCATGATCATGGCTTCTTTGGGAAACGTATCTGAATGTGTTAAAATGTTCTACCACCATGTGGCGCTGTAAGCCTGCACACTGAAGGATAAAGCACAGCACAGCACAGGCAGCAGCTATTCAGCGTGGATTTGAAAGGCAGTCATGAGACTTTTAATTTGAAAGAATAAACGCGTTTCCGCTCAAAGTTGCGGCTCAGTTAAATCTTCGACGTGCGCGTGACTAGGTCCGCAGCTAGCATCACCAGAGTGGAGACAAGTTGACAGCAGAGCAGAAACCATGGGAAACTATGTTAAAAGTAGCAGACAGTGCTCCTGGAAAAGTCTGAGGTACTTTTAGGTGGACTGAAAACTTTTCCCGAACCACATACCACATCACAGCAGCGGGAAACCATGATGGATAACCAGGGAGGTGACAGAGAGTCTGCCGCGGGGAGCAGCGTGTCAGCCCGGGGAGAGGAGCCCAGCAGCGGGGAGCTTCCTCCGGAGCTCACCTGTCCCCCGGAGGACTACCGCACCGCGAAGTTCAGCCTGGCTGCCTACCTGCTCTGCTGGGCCCTGCTCAGGTGGTACCAGGTGAGAATATTCTGACATTTACACCTAATATATGTGGCTGTTAAATTAGTAAAGTTGTCTA